ATCCAACCCTCGTACCCAAACCTGCTCCCTGATCTTTCTCAGGGTGCAAACCTTTTGCCAGGAAGCATCCATGTTGCTTCAGGATCTTGTACGCATCCTTACAAACCTGTGTGGCCTGGACACCTGGGGTCACAACTGACTCCAGGGGAAGGAACCACTCCTAGGTCTGATCCCTCAGGGAGGCTGAGCTTCCTGTCTTGCATCCCAACTACAGGAACAGACTTGCATCCTCAGAAGTGAGCCATCTGCAGAGAGTCTTCATCTACCCAGTGGGGCCTTCCTTTCTGTCCTGTTTCGTCTGTCCTCCTTCCCACCCAGTTTCTCCTTCTCTGTTTATTTTGCTCTCTTTCTCTATCTCCTCAGTCATTCACTAACTCATTTCACCTTTTCCTTATTGACTGTGTTCTGAGCCATAGGTGCCCACTCCCAGTTTCTCTCCTATTCAGGTGCCCTCTGCCCACTTAAGCTGAGATGTTCACAGCCCCTTCTCTGACCAATTCTAGAGCTTGAGCTGAGTCGAGCTACAGCCCCTCAGATGTTTCCTGACAACACGGTAATGCACAGTATTTATCAGCTGTTGTAACAGCTCTATTAAGATATGATCAGGTATAATAAATTCAACCATTTTATTTGGACACAATACCTTCATTTTAAATAAACAATTCAATGGCTTTGGACATTGCATTACAGCCCACACCTGCAATCATGATATAGAGCATTTGCACCAGGCATGGTGGCACACGCCTATAATCCCAGTGGCTCAAGAGGACTGAGGCAGGAGGATCTCAAGTTCAAAGCCAGCACTCAGCAACTTAGTGAGGCCCTAAGCAACTTAGTGAGACCCTGTCTCAAAATAAAAACTAAAAAAGGACTGGGATTTGGATCAGTGGTTAAGTGCCCTGAGTTCAGTCTCTAGGACCAAAAAAAATAGAACCTTTGCATCTCCTCAGGAGTTCTCTGGTGCCATTTTTTAAAATAATTTCATATGTATGAAATTATTTTAAAAAATGGCACCAGAGAACTCCTGAAGAGATGTATTTTTTAATATTTATTTATATATTTTTATATATTATATATGTAATTTCAAAAATATATTTTAGTTTTAGTTGGACACAATACCTTCATTTTATTTATTTATTTATTTATTTATTTATTTATTTATTTATTTATTTATGTGGTGCTGAGGATCGAACCCAGGGCCTCACATGTGCAAGGCAAACGCTCTATTGCTTAGCCACTACCCAGCCCTGGTGCTGATTTTTTTAACCAATCTGCTCTTCTTACCCTAGCTCCTGGCAAACTTTAACCTGTTTTCTGTCAACATGGTTCTGGAATTTTCCTTTCTTACAATTTCAGATAAATGGTATCATGTAGTTTGTCGGATTTTGTGTCCTGGGTCTTACTTAGGATGATGTTGAGTTTCATCCACGTTGCATATGTTGCTGAGTAAGGAGTGTCTCAGTGTGCTTATACCACAATATGGGGTTTTGTTTGTTTTTTATTCACCAGTTGATTGGCATGGGGGTTGTTTCCAGTTTGGGGCCAAAAGGAATAAAGTTGCTAAGAACAAATCAATATACAAGTCCTTGTGTGGACATTATGTTTTCAATTTGGGGGGTGGGGTACATGCTTCTGAGATTGTTGGGTAGTATGGTCAGTGTTAACTTTATATGAAATGGCCAGCATGTTTTCCAACTTGGTGGACTGTTCTCCATTCCCACCAGGTGGGTACAAGAATTCTAATTGCTCCACATTCTGATCAACACTTGGTATGGTTGGTTGTTTTAATTCTAGCCATTCTTGGAGGTATGTAGTAGTATCTTAGGGTGAGTTTAATTTGCATTTCCCTGATAATAATGAATGTTAAGCATCTTTTCATGTGTTCATTGGCCATTCTTTTGCATTCTTTGCCCAGTTTTTATTGGTTTTTTTTTTTCTTATGAATGTATTTAAGAATTTGCCCAATCTGTTTTTATCTCCCTCTTTCTACCCCGCTTCCTCCCTTTGATCCTTTGGGTCTATTTGTTATCCCCTTGAGTCTGTCCTAACTGGACTCTGCCCATTCTTAGGAGCTTCTCTATCTCCACCTCCCTCCTCCTGTGGTGTCTTCCTCCTTCTTTGTAGGTTCTCCTCTCTTTTTACCTCTAGGACACCTCAAAACCTGAGAATCTGGACTCCTTTACCATTCCATATTAGAAATAATTCCATCACATCCACAGATTTCCAGCCTGGTTACAGTCAGTTTTCCAAATAAGGGAAGATGAAGTTCTAAAGAGGTAAAAATACAGAGCCAGGTATAATGGAGAGAAGGCTTTGCATTTAGTACCCTCCTCTTCCCTAGAAGATCAATAGTGCTTAAGATAGAAGTGTTTTCATTCAAACATAACATTGGAAAGTAAAGAGTATTAAGTGAGGTTCTTCCTGCTACTTTAGTGGTCCAGTAGCCTCCACAAACATAGGCGTAGTTATTTGCTTATAGTTTTTTTTTAATTGAACCAATAAAAATAAATACTTTTTTTAAAACATGCAACTCTGTGCCAAAATGTTAAGCGTAAGGTGTAAAATGTCTAAATTAGAACTTAAAACTACACAAATTTATTTCAAATATAGAAATGTAATATAAATTACATGAAGTGTGTAATAGGAAAAAAAAACAGTTAAAAAAAAAAAGAGACAGGGTGGTTGTTTGCATAACAAGGCTCTCCCTTGACATAGCTCTCAAGCCCAGCAGGACCTCCTTGCCCTATTATACCGAAGGAGAAGCCTAGCCCAAAGCCAGCTCCTTTATATCTATTTGACAATATTTGATTGCAAAGCTCAGAACGTCTTATTCAGTGTTAGAGTGACTCAGATGGAAAATTAGGGAATGGTTTAWTTTAAAAATTTTTATTGAGATGTAATTCACTTACCACACAATTTTCCCACTTATGGTTTAAAATTCAGTGGTTTTTAATATATTTACAGACATGTGCAATCATTATTTCTACAATTTTAGAACATTTATTAGTTCAAAAAGAAACTCTATATTCAAGCTATCACCAAACTCTTTAGCTATCACTCCCATGTCCCCTTTATCTCCTTAACTYTAGAAACCATGAATTGGCTTTCTATCTCTAGAGATTTGTCTATTCCCAACATTTTCATATAAATGGAATCATAAAATATGTGGTCTTTTGTGTCTGGCTTTCATTTAGTACAATGATTTCAAGGTTCTCCCATGATCTTACACATGTCAGTACTTAACTCTTTGTATGGTTGGATAATATTCCATTGGATGGATATACCATACTTTGTTTATCCATTCATCAGTTGGTGGACATTTGGGTTGATCCCATCTTTTGATTATTATAAATAACTCTTCTGTAAACATTTGTGTACAAGTTTTTATGTGGTCATGTATTGTTATTTCTCTTGGGCATCTACTAGGTACTTCTCTTGGGTATTTATATACTAGGAGTGGTCTTACTGGGTCTTATCATTTGAGGAACTGCCAGACAGTTTTCTAAAGGGATTGCACCCTATTGCATCCCCACCAGCAATGTATGAGGGTTTCAACTTTTCTACCTCCTTGTCAACATTTGCTATTATTTTACAAGAATGATTTTCCTGATCCTATAGCTAGATTCTCAAAATGTTGCACATACATTTACACAATCATTGACACAAATACACCACAAAACTACATAGTTGTGCTTACCTACACAATCCTCTAGACCTTATATGCATAACATACAGAATATTATAGATATTTGCCCTCACATATATACCTGTATATATATATATGCAGTCTCATGCAGGAGTCATGTATTTCAACCCACATGGTTGAACATACCCATATATACAATAGACACATGTACCTACAATTGCTGTGGGTTCTGAGCAAACAGAATCAGAAACACATGCACTTAGTAACACATGCATACCTACACAAACACAACTTCACAAATAATAGTTGTACCCAAAAACAGTTCTAGAAAGGCACATATATTTAGTAACCATCATTTATGGACAGACAACTGAAAACAGATCTGCTGTGTTTACCTTGGATGGCATGGAGGGAGATGGTTAAGGCTTTGTCAGTGTTTCGTGTACAAGGTAGAAAGAATTTTTTGTTCATTTATTCATTCTTTAAGCTACAAGTACATATTGAACGCACAAGAAAAAGAAGGTTGAATAAGACTGACACAGTTTCTATCCTTCTGGAACTTAAAAGTCTAGTGGGAGAATCAGTAAAAAGCCAGGAAATAAACCAGGGTGTGAGATGTGGCAGGAGAGAGAATAAGCAAGGTGGTGTGTTCGCTAATAGGCAACTCCTGGGATAGCAGGCAGTTTTTAGAGGCTTTTATCATTGTTGTTCCTTTTTACCCTGGAGAAAGGAATTTGTGTGTGTGTGTGTGTGTGTGTGTGTGTGTGTGTGTGTTTTAACACCATGAGTAGTCAATGAGTGTGTGGGCTCAGAACCTAGGTGACTTGATTTTTAAATTTTGTTTTCTACTAATTGTGTGACCTTTCTTTTTCTCTGTGTCTTGGTTTCTCATCCAAAAAACAAGGAATAATAAGGATACTGGTAAAGCACTTAAAAACTGCCTGGCACGTGCTAAGTTCTGCATCCATCTTAGCCATAGTATCACTTTCTGAGAGCAGGTTTTCATAGAAGGTGGGGAGCTCTGTGGGAGAGGGTGGGGTGGGGTGGGGTGGGGTAGGGTGAGGCAGGGAGTAGGAGGAGTAGCGGCAGTGCCCTCTTGGCTGTAAACTGGACAGCTCTCCAGCCTCTATGGTATCTGCACAGTCTTGTGAATGTGGCCCTGGCATGCCACCCTGGCAGACCATCAACTAATCTGTTCCACCCCATTCTACCTAAAGCCACAATCCACAGAGAAGACACATGGTGGGTGGTGCTGGGCATGGCTCTTGGTCTTCAGCTGTRTCAAGCCTTATTTGCTGCAGGCCTGACTTGTGGCATTCACTGGTTCTGCTTCTCTGTCCTTCTGTCTGTGTAGGTCAGCACTTATCATCCTGCACCTGCCTCTCCAGGACATTCCATGGCCACGATCAGTCTGCCTGGCTCCCAGCAACACCTCTCCACTAACATGTGAGTAAAAACTTCATCCCTCCATCCCGGGTCCCTAGTACAGAGGAGTCAACTCTGCTAGTCGGATGCCATCGAGCCTCCCATGTCCAGACCAGAGAAACAACTCCTCTTCCTTAACCACCTTCAAAGGAGATAGTGATGAAAAACACAAATTAGCAAGCCACAACATCTTAGCTCATGATTTTGCAAAAGCAGAAAGAGACTGTAAGATTATATACCATTACACCTCTGGGAGATTGGCTATTGAGCAATCTCTATTGTTTTTCTTCATATTCAAAACACTAGGTCATAAATAAATGTTGATTTAGGGTCATATTCCAGTGTCCCGACATGGGTCATTTCTTGAATAGCATTGGTGGGGCAGCTAATCTCACGTCCTCAGCCCCAGTGGCACTATTCCCTGTTGTCTTCCCTGACTCTTACCTAATGTTACCCGCTTAAGTCCCATGTGGGCTTTAGGATGCAATGTCTCTGCTTTAGCCAGAGCCATTTTTGCCCATTGCAACACCCTGTCCTCCATCTCACCAAGCAGTCCGTGTTTCACTGTGTGTCAAAAAAGAGAGAAAATTAACCTCTGCCTCCTACTTCCCAATGTTTGCTTCTCTGCCTACATCAGGTAGCTCCTTGGGCCATTCCTGGAGTCAGACATCCCCATGCTCCCAGTCACAGGGTTGGATCAGAGAGTTCTGTGTTGACTTCTCACTCCCCTGAACCTTGCTGGTTATGAGCATTTTCTTGGGGGACACATTACACTGTCRTGAAAAAACATCCTTCCACTGTCGTGGAAGACCATTACTTGTAGGTTTGAGACTCATCTCTGTTACCAATCCTTGGTCACCTTTCTCCATCTGAGGCCAGTTTACCAATTGTTTTAGTACCAATGTTGGCCTATATTAGTGATCTGTGGTGCTCTATGGAGAAAGAAAAGGAAGATGGAGAAGGTCGTACTCCTCCCCCTCCATGACTGTTTCAACCAGGCTTCTTACCATTTTTATCTGTCTACAGGATGAGGTTTCCCCTTTTTATTTATTTATTTTTTTTTTTGAAATTTCCATTTTAAAAGGTCATTATTGCTAACCACTGGGCTGCTGCGCTCTGGGGTTCCAACTACCTCTGCCATTGGCAGGCTTGATGCTCTCCACCAAGCATGTCCCCTTCTTCCCTCACTGGTCCCCTGTGCCTCCCAGGTTTGTAGCCCTACACTCCTACTCAGCCCATGGACCCGACGAGCTGGACCTGCAGAAGGGAGAAGGCATCAGGGTCCTGGGGAAGCACCAGGACGGCTGGCTGAGGGGCATCTCCTTGGTCACTGGGCGAGTCGGCATCTTCCCAAACAACTATGTCATCCCCATTTTCAGGTGCGTGCCCTCCAATCTTAGGCATCGGGAGGTTGCTTCATCCTAGACCAGAAGCCTTCTCTGGGTTGCAGTGATGGAGACTCAATTATCTTTCAGAGTAGAGGCCAAGACATGGCCTTTGCCCTCATACCCTCCTAACTCTTCAAAGAAACACATTGCAAAAAAACAGTTAGCTGTCTTACAGCTCCGGGGAGTTGACAGGCACTTTGCCTCTTTCATCTCACTGGTTATTCCCAAGGATTTTGTATTTGTCATTTTGCAGGTGAGGGAACTGCTATGCAGAGTTAAGAAGCCTATTGAAGAGCTAGATTTCAGGTTTTCTTCTGCACAAGTCCCAGAAGTCCCACATCACACCCCAACACTCCATCTAGTGGAATGATTGGGAAATGTGGGCAGACGACTTCCCCAGAGCGTCTTGGGAATGTTCCTAGGATGTTGACCATCAGTTAGATTTCCCTGAATTCAGACCACCACTCGCCCACCCACAACCCAGACAAAAATGCTAGTTACCCACCGTGCTCTTCCTACCAGTTTTTCCCAACCTTTTTTTTTCCCACTTCACAGCGCATCTATTGATTTCATTGATCCAGTTTATCCTGTCACTCACRTGGCCACAAATGCACACAGTCCCCAGAGCTACCCATGACTCCTCCTTCCTTACCCCACATCAGCCCAGGCAAAGCCACGAGGCAGGGAGCCCATAGAACACTGCCTTTAGGATGTGCTAGAGGGCCTCAACTCCAGGGAAAGTGATCGGACCCTGGGTGTGGTGGGGGAGGTGTTCTATCTAGAGTCATGTCCACTTTGGGAGATCTTCACTTAGTTGGGCCCTTGTCTGAAGGTGGTGAGGAAACATCAAACTGCATCACGGGAGAAACTGATGAAGACACTTGGGTCATTTAACCTGTAGAAGATAAAGGACAGAGGAGTCTTAGTAGACTGTAAACCAGAAAGATTTGAGGGGGCAGTACAGTAGACTGGGGGGGTTAGTTGGAGAAAAGGATTTGGTTCAAAGAAAGTCTGCATTTTCTAACCCATAGATTTTCCACCAGGCTAGCTGGCACGGTAGAGAACACTCTTTCTGGAAAGAGTGCAAAGTCTAGGTCCTCACAGATCCAGGATTACATAAAAATATTTTTCCACATGGCAGAAAGTTGGAGTAGAAGATCTTAATTTCTTTCAATGAAAGGTTCTTGGAATTTGTTAAAAAGTTCAAACTACAAAGAGGCAAACGAATGGGTCTGTAACTGATGCTCTCAGTCATTACTTCAGTAAATATTTATTGAGTGCCAATTATGTATCAGGCCCCTTTCTAGGCCCTGTAGAAATACCCATGAATGAAATATGTAGAATTTCTGCCCACAGGAGCTTATGATCTAATGTGAGAGAGATAAGGAACAAGATAAACAAGTAATACATATTGTGGATTAAGGGCTAAGAAGAAAAATCAGGAGAGTGGGATAGAATTTGTGTAGAGGTGGGTTACAATTTTAGATAGGTTGACCAGGGATGATCTTACTCAGAAATAAGAAGGAGGAGTGAAGGAAATAAAGATGTGAACCATGTGATTCTGTGAAAGAAGTGGATTCTAAGCCAAAGGAACAGCAAGTACAAAGGCCCTAAGGTAGGAGTGGCCAATGGAATCAGATTGGAACAAGGGAGGAGGAGAATAGTAGGAGACGAGGTCATCAGAATGTCCTAGGTCATAATGAGGGATTTCATTTTAACCCTATTACAGAATTTTAATAGAGGAGTGACATGAATCTAACTTACGTTTAACCAGAATATCTCTTTCTGCTGGGAATCTCGAACTAGTAAGAGAATAGACTAGAGAGAAAATAGTAAAAAACAGAAAAACTAGTTAGGAGGCTATTGTAATAATCCTGGGGAGAGATGATTGTAAATAGAACCAGGGCTTTGTGAAGTGGATACAGTCCAAAGTGGACAGATGCTGCAAGTACCCTGAAGTTAGAGGCAACAGGATTTTTCTAAGAGTTCAAACATCAGATGTGAAAGAAGAGAGTATTCGAGGTGAGTCTTGGTTTTTTGCCATGGCTAACTGTAAAAGGGAGTGGCCTTTTACTGATGGTGATGATGAAAACGGTAAGATGGGGAGATTGAGTTATGGGGAAAGCAACAGCTTAGTCTGCAGCAGACTAAATCAGAAAGGCCCATTAGTAATCAGAGTAAAGATGTTGGTGAGATGAATATACAAGTCCTAGCATCTAAGAGAGCACTCCAGGCTTCAGATGGTATTTAAAGCCCTAAGATTAGATGAGATCATCATCATAGCATCAGTTCTATCAAGAGGCCAACAAAGAGTCAGAAGCTACAGTCTTCAAGGAATGAGAGGACATACAGACCCTGAGGATGAACAATGACCACACAAGGTGCAGGGGTGGGTGTAGAGTCTGATGATACGAGTCGAAGCCAGGAAGTCTTGAAGAGGATGGGGAATGATTTAGAAGTGACAGGAGCAAGGTGAATGCCTATTCTAAATTAAGAACCATTGCTTCCCTGAAATCTAACTAGAATTGTCCAAGGCTCATGCCTACAGGTAGAGCATTCGCTTCTACATTTAACTCTAGGCCCAGTCCCGGCTGTGCCATCAAAGAACATTAGAATAATGGTGATCAGATATAAGCAGATATAAACTGAAAGTCTCCTGGAGAAACCAGGACCTATGGTCACCCTAACTAGAAWGTGTGTAGGTTTTTATCCCCATGGATCTCAAGGCTCCCTGCCTCTCCTCTTTGGCTCTTCTCCTGGATGATATGTTGTGCTCTTGGGCAAGCCATGAGCTTCTGTTCTCATCCCCTCTGAGGTGAATGTACATGAGACCGTAGATGGAAGCTCAGCACCATGGATTACCACTGAGTCCTCCCTCCCTGCTCAGAGAAACCTGAGCATGTGCATAGCTTGAGCTGCTACTAATGTTGAGGCATGATTTTTCTTATGTGGAAGCAGCACTCCCAAGAAGAACAAGTGCCTGTCAGAGAATATACTCCTAAGGTTATTAGTGACAGAGAATCCATGCTTTCTTTGATGATCTTTCTGATATAAAAAAAAAAAGTTCCCATTCCCACTGACCTTGGATTTGAATGCCATATGCTCAAGTTGTCACTCTGGGTGCAGCTAAGCCATATTCTTAGCCAGGCCTTCCACTGTGGGAAGTTTCATTCTTCCCACGTCTCAGGACTGAAAAATGCTGTCCTTTGTCAGCTGAGTTTCTACTACTGTTAATAAGTGATGTGGGTGAATGTAGGGGGTTGGGCCACATGGGCAGGCCTCTCCTTTCTGTTCTTTGGTTCTGTTTGACTTTTTTCCACCAGGTGGAAAACCTCCCTCGTCTTTGTTTTCTGTTTGTAGTGATGGCTTGCACTGCCATCCAATCTTCTTAGTGTATAGTGCAGCCTTTTATAAAAATAGCAGGGCTGGGAGAGGTAGATGCACCCTGAGCACTGGAAACTTTACACTGGTTAGCATCATCTCTTACGAACTGAGCCAGCCAAAGTATGGAGATTAATATAGTTTAGAGTTAAGATTCAACAAGTGAGCCTTTTAGCTACCAAGAGTCAAAAAGGCTTCTACGCTAGTCTGTTCCAGCCCTCTAGGCTAAATGGTGACACCAACCTGTACAGTTCTTGTTGACCACAACTAAATCTCTGCCACAGTGAAGTCTCTTCCAAGATCCTGGAGATATCCATGAGCTCAGGTTGTACAGAACATTTGTCAAATTTTCAAACTTTTCATCTATCCAACATCCAAACTCCTTCTTTTTTTTTTTTTTGGTGGGTGGGCACTATGTATTTAACCCAGTGGTGCTCTTCCACTGAGCCACATCCCCAGCCCTGTTTTAAATTTTGTTTTGAGACATCTTCTCAAAAATTTGCCAAGACTGCCTTTGAACACGCAATCCTCCTGCCTCAGCCTCCTATTATAGGTGTGTATGGAATTATAGGTGTGTGCCAAGGTGCCTGGCCAAAGCTTTTCTTCTTCTTTTACTTTTTTTTGTGTAGTTATAGATGGACAGCATACTTTTATTTTACTTGCTTATTTTTATGTGGTACTGAGGATCGAACCCAGCGCCTCACATGTGCTAGGCAAGTGCTCTGCCACTGAGCCACAACCCCAGCCCCCAAACCCCTCCTTTTTTTTTCTTTTTTCAGTGCTGAGGATTAACCCAGGGCCTTGTGCATATGAGGCAAGCACTCTACCAACTGAGCTATATCCCCAGCACCCCCCCAAAACCCCTTCTTAATAGCACCAATATATCTTTGAACTGCCTTCTTTGTGTGTCGTCTTGGTAGGAGGAAGATGTTTCCTCTCTTTTCAGAGACCAAACAAACCCAATACTCCTTTTCCTCCTCAACCCTGCATGCAGCTAAGGGTCAAGCTGAGCCAGCATTAGGCTCCCTCTTGGGATTTTAACACTTGAGCAGGAGAGGGAAGATGCGGGCAAGTTGGAAAACCTAGCACAGTGAGGGCACCAACAGCAGCATTTGATCTGTGGCTTCCCCCTATAGATTCCTCTGCTGAGCCCTCTGCACCCTCCTCAGATCTGCTACTAAGTTCTTTCCTCCCCCTCCTGCCCTCCCAATAATTCTCTTCTGCCCAGTTAGCCAGGATATTTTTTTTCTTGCATTCTTCCCAGATACATATGCCTACCTAAGTAGCCTTATGGGTGGAGAAAATTGACAAGTGGATTGCCCCTCCTTGGCCTTTAACTCTCTGCACAGACTATGTCAAGATGGTCAAGTCCAACCTTTCTCCTTACCAGGAAACTGCTGCCAGTGCTGAGCCCAGAAGAGCTGCTCTTTGTAAGGCACCTTTTGAATACGGGCCAAGCTCTTAAGGACAACATACCAAACAGACAAAAGGACACAGGGACATGCTCAATGGAACAAATTAGAAGCAACCTCCACTCCTCCCACTTAAGTCCAAAATGCTTTTCTGTCTCCTCTGGAAAATAAGGACATAGTGTCTTCAGTTTGGGATATCATGGGGCTTAATTAATACATTTCAGCAAAGTGCTTTGATGTTGGGGGGAAAAAAGTGCTAGGTAAGTGTTGAGCTTTTTGCCAAGAGACATAGAGTAACTCAGTATTGCATGGGAGACTTGGGATTTGGGAGTTCCTGGAATCTGGCCCAGTACTGGGCTCAGGAAAAAAAAATGAGTTCAGACCTCAGTCCATAAACAGCCATTCAAAGAAGGGACTGGAGGAATAAGGCTGGCTTGGGCCTAATTAACTGTATTCCGTTCTTGCTGCTGTTGCTACTGCTGGAAACAATTTTGAAACCTGTCTTTCCTGTTGCTGATCCACTTTGCAGTATCCAGCTCTTTGCAACCTCTGTTCAAAAGACAGATCAGTTGGGCTCTGCCATGGAGCTCGTGCTGGGGATTCCTTTCCTCTGCCCAGATCTCATCTCCAGAATCCAGTCTGATCTCTCACTGGTGGACAGTCTTACTCCTCTTTATGCACCACACCACCATGGGGACCAGGCAGGCTGACAGTTGCGGATAGAAGGTCCTTTCTGCTAGCATCAGTTCTTACAGTATCTGGCTGCATGTACTTTTGAGGCAGGTGCAGGACACAATTAAATGACACTTTGCCTATCTTTACATGATACTGGCTCATTATTAAACCACATCCTACATCTAGATAATCCAAAACATCTCCACCAGAAGATTCCTAGAGCTTATAAATGTGTTTATCAAAGTAGGAATATATCAAAGTAGGAATATATAAGATCAACATCCATAAATCAGTAGCTTTGCTATATTCCAACAGTGATTCAGCCAAGGAAGAAATCAGGAAAATCATTCCAATCACAATAACCTCAAAAACAAACAAATAAAAAAAAACCCTTGGGAATTAATCTAACCTAGGAGATAAATGAGGTCTACATTGAAAATTACAGAACACTGAAGAAAGAAATTGAAGAAAATTCTTCAAAGATGGAAAGACATTCCATGTTATTGCATAGGCAGAATCAATATTGTCCAAATGGCCACACTATCAAAAGCAATATACAGAGTCAATGAAATC